ATTCAATTATAAATTTAAAATTTTGATTGATAATTGATTTGGTTTATTAATATGATATGAAATTATTTTTTACTACTCCCTCCGTCCCAAATTATAATGCTTGTTCACTATTCACAAGGTCAAACTTCATTCACTTTCTTTCTCTATTTTCGTTAGCAATTTGATAAAATAAAATATTGTTGTCACTACTAGTTTTATAGATTTTTTGATGTAGTATTTTGATATGTAATTTTTATTTTTTAACTCTATACCATTTGTCATATAAAATGATTTGAAAATAACTTCAGTCAAACATCGTAAACCGAAACAGGCGTTATAAAATGGGACGGAGGGAGTAGAAAATAACGACTTCATTTGTGCAATTTAATATTCTAAAGTAACTCAAACAAACAAATTTAATACCATGACTTTAATTAAGCTTACCAATTCCTTTCTTTCATGAACCTTTTGGGTGATTGAATTTATATGTGTTAGGTTATATGAAGCCTGATGCTTAATGATTAACTTTGCTTAATGGTTAAGTTTGCTTAATGGTTAAGTTTTCTTAATAGTTAAGTTTACTTAATGGCTAAGTTTACTTGATGGCTAAGCTTTCTTAATGGTTAAGTTTACTTAATGGCTAAGTTTACTTAATGACTAAGTTTTCTTAATGGTTAAGTATATGTTGTAATGCCTATATATATTCTCCTTTGTAGCTAATTTTTTGTAGAGTGGCAAGAGACAAATTCTCTATAACTGTATCTGCCTAAATCATCAATAAACACATCTAGCCGCCGTGGAAGTTTACTCACGGGGTGTTACCACGTTATTTCACGTGTTTCACTTTCTCTCTACTTTTACTCTCTCATTTTTTTCTTCACCTTATTCATCGAAATTCTGTGAGTGTTCTTGATTCGATCCTAACAACTGGTATTAGAGCTCAGGAGAATCAACACGATCACTGAAGATGGAGAGTTCGAAGGTTGGAATCGAGAAGTTTGATGGATCCGATTTCGGTTTCTGGAAGATGCAGATCGAAGACTATCTCTACCAGAAAGATCTTCGCAAACCCTTGACTGAGGTGAAGCCGGATTCCATGACAGAGGAGCAGTGGAAGATCAAGGATCGCCAGGCGTTAGGGATGATCCGGTTGACTTTGACGAAGAACGTGGCATTCAATATAGTGAAAGAGAACACTACGGCGGGTCTAATGAAGGCACTATCAAATTTGTATGAAAAACCATCTGCGATGAACAAGGTATATTTGATGCGTAGATTGTTCAATTTACAGATGCCTGAAAGTGGATCAGTGGCTAATCATATAAATGATTTTAATATGATTGTGAGTCAACTGTGTTATGTGGAAATCAATTTTGAGGATGAAATTAAGGTGTTGATTTTGCTGTCATCTATGCCCGAGTCTTGGGATATTGTTGTTGCGGCAATTAGTAGTTCTCGTGGGTCTGAGAAGCTAAGGTTCGATGAAATCCGTGATGTTGTTCTTAGCGAAAGTATTCGCAAGAGAGAAATGGTTGATTCATCGGGCAGTGCTCTCAGCGTTGACCGAAGGGGTAGATGCAAGTTCAAGGGCCAACATCAACATGGCCGATCAAAATCAAAGAATCGAGGCAAGTCCCCGAATAGATTCATTATAACTCTTAGTATTTTATTGCAAACATCATCTTTGGAAAATCGTCTCCATTCAATGTTTAGACTTGGGTTTTATTGTAAAAGGCTAAGAGTTTAGAATGTGTGGTTGTTTTGCATGATGAGTAGTTATCACGAACAAACACATTTCTAATTCCATAAACACTGCCTTCAACGATTTGTTTCCAAGGGTTTTTTTCGGCTTCTTGAGATGAGCGTCAATCCTGCTCCAATGTGAATAGAATACACAGTCCAATGTTACAAAACTATGCATTGTTTATGGCATGGAAATGAAATGAAACTAAACGAAAGATATAGACAATTACAATACACTTTCAGCATGAAAGATGACTTCCATAGAATCTCCTCCTTAGGCCCATGCGGGAACAAAGTACACATGAACCGCCCTCACCCGAAGCATCCAAGTGGTCTTACGATTGTTTATTTCGCTCTGATCACCCCATGTGCTCATTGATTTTCTTTGAGCCATGTTTTCGAAAGAGAGAATTTTGGTGCTTGTGAATGTTGAAACCATTAAATGGCTTTAGATAGAATATATTTGGTATGAGCCATCTCTCCACATTAAATGAAAAGATTGATTAAATCTTTCTTTTTTTATTGGACATAAAGTGGTCTTGAACCACTCAAATTCATTTCTCCAACCTCGAAAACTTAAAGATTAGCTGTTATTACTTTTGCTTTTGCACTTTTCCATGTAATGTAATGATTACCTCTCAAAATAAATTAATTATGGCATACCACAACAAATTTAATGTTGAATAAGACATAAAGTAGATTTACACCTTAAAAGTAGAGGGTGCTTTAACATATATCCAAGTCTTTTAAAGATTTCCCAATCTAAACATTTAATATTGAATGAAACAAAGTAATCTCTACAATAAAAGTAGTGGTTGCTTTGAGCCTCCCGTGCTAACGCTGTCCGAAGTAAAGTGAAATGACACTTTGTAGATCTGCCAAATTCCATTAACATGCTGAAATTAACAGCCCATATACCAGTAACCCGGCCCATTTATTTTTGGCGGGAACACTGTTCAAAAATGTCTCACACCTTTGTATAGATTAACACAAAAACAAAGACTACAAACACGGGCACGTAACCCCAACCTGTTTGAATCACGGGGTAAAAAACTACTCCGTAGTACTCTAGTAATATTTTACTCTTCATCACAGGATTAACCGTTTCATAGGGTTACTATGGATCGGTTCATTCCAATCAAAACTCATCACTGACATAGATAAATAATCGTTTTATCATAACTTATACGGAGTATACATGATCATGATAACCAAACGGACATGCATACAATGATACAAACTTTGTATACATAGGTGTTTCATAACTTAAATTACACTGAGTAGCAAT